GGTGGGGGGGGTGGGGGGGTGGCGGAAATGAGGGTGGGGGGGGGTTGACACTTGCTGTAAGGGGGGAAGGAGGGTTTTGGGTGCAGTGGTCGCATGGGTATGTCGTACATGGGCATAAGTGAGAGGTGGGAAGGACGGGTGTTTAGGACTTCACTCGGGACACCGCCGTACGATTTTGGGTTAGTGTGACGTAGATTATTTCCGTTGCCTCAAGGTCTAACCACCTGTAACCACCAACCAACCTACTGCCTGAATTTCCTCGCAGGCGGCGCCGCCCTGCTTCGGGCCCATTACGAGCGGCGGCATCCCAACGACCCAACCGCCGCAACCGCCGCCCTGGAGCGGTTGTTCGCGGCCATGGCGTCGAAGAAGCTGTGCTTGTCCTTTGAAATGGTAATAGTACGGAAACACACAACACACAAGTACATACAGACATACCGCACACAGAGACGTGCACATACATACAGACATACCGCACACAGAGACGTGCACATACATACAGACATACAAGGCCCTCTCCAAACCCCTCCACTCCTTTTCCCCATCCGACCTACCTGCACCCACAGACTTACATGCCGACACACATGCACATACAGACATACATACAGACAGACACACGCACACCGGTCTGATTACAGGTCACTGGGTGTCACGGCCACCACGGCCAGCTCCCGGCCGCCGAGTACCTCGTCACCACCGCCGCGCACACCCTCGACCCCGTCACCGGCGCCCCCGCCTTCCTAGACTGGTTGCCCTTCCTGGAGCTTTGTACGGAGTACGGCCTGCCCACAAACGACACGTGGGTTGTGGCGGGCGGCAGCCGCGCGGCCGCTGTACGACAGGCGCTGGACTCCCTGGCACTGCGCGGCGGACCCACGGGTCACGCGATGCGTGTGCTGGACGAGCTGGTTTCGGAGGAGGTTGAGGGGGCGGGGGATGGGGGTTGTTTGCGGTTGCCTGGCACGTACCCGCACGACGGATGGCAGGGGACGCGGCTGGAGGGTTTCGTGGTTGCGGCCGGACAGCCCCTGGGGGCCCAGGTGAGATCTCACACTTGCGTGTGCGTGCGTATGTATGTATGTATGTATGTTTGTTTGTATATGTGGGTGAGAATTTATACAGCCGGTGTGCATGTGCGTATGTATGTATGTATGTATGTATGTATGTATGTATGTATGTATGTATGTATGTATGTATGTAAGATGTAGATTACACTGTGGGCCGCAAAACGGGGCGGGGGGAGGGAGCGGGGCCGAAGCCGAAACACCGCGCAAGGGTCGGGAGCACTCAGTCCACAAGTCGCGGCTCGTCGGCTCGTCCTGTGTGCTCCCGACCCACCTCCCGACTCAGTCACTCAGTCGCCCAGCTCCTCCACAGGAGGACAAAGGCGTACAGCGCTGAAGTGAGATCACGACAACCGGGCTGTCACGTCGGGGGGGGGAGGGGACGCGACTCAACGAAACCCAGATCCAGATCCAAATAGGGTACGGGCTCCCCGAAGCCCCCGGCCCGGCCCATGGGGGATACAGACCCGTCCCTGGTCCTCTCTCCCCTCCCCCCTCCCCAAACCCAAGGGTGACATCCCCCACGGACACCCACCTTCACGCTTCACTCGTTCGTGGTTCGTCTCCCCCCTTCAACCCCATCTCCGGGGGGGGCCCCCCGTGTATAGGTTGCGTCAGGAGGCCCCAGGGTGGGTCCTCCGGAGCCGCCGTCACCCCCCTCCCCACGTCAACCCCTAGACAATCCGTCTTACCAACTCCCCCCTAGCTTCACTACATGCAGCTATGGTGTTGTGTGCTGTCGTGCGGTGCTGCGGCGATGCGTCCGTGCGTTTGCTGGTCGTGCAGGAGATGAGCCGCCTCCGGGCAATCCGCGATGTGCTGGAGGGGGCCAGGCTGCCGCTAGAGGTGGTTCCGGAGCACCTCCGTCAGCCATACAAGTACGCCCTGGGGGAAGCAACGACGGCCGCAGCAGCGACGGCGGCAGCAGCGACGGCGGCAGCAGCGACGGCGGCAGCAGCGACGGCGGCAGCAGCGACGGCGGCAGCAGCGACGGGGGCAGCAACGACGGCGGCTGCCGCATCCGGCGCTGTACGGTCGCATCTGCAGGCCGCCGCTGCGGCCTGGATGCCGCAAGCGGCGCTTCCGTACGTTTCACCCGGCGACGGCGAGAGCAAACGCGTGAAGGAGCTGCTGATGTCGCAGATTCCCGAAGGACTCCAGGACGGCAAGCCGTATATGGAATTGTCGTACAGCGGCGGCGGCGGCAACCGTCGGGTGTACAGCAGATTGGCTCTGCAGCAGCTGGATACGCAAGGCCTCCAGGTACGGCGAACCCGAATCTTCCGTACCCGAATCATCCCTCCCCACCACTCGCACAAATACTGTTTGCTGCCTTTCGTCGTTTGCCGCTTGCCGTACTGCGCCGTACAGGGGTTGCTGGCGGGGGAGCTGGCGGAGGAGGAGTTGGCGGCGGCGGCGATGGGCGGCGGCAGCTGTCCTTCCCGGGCGCAGGCCCTGAGGGAGGTGGCAACGGATGCGGCTACCGCGACCGACACCGGGAGGCTTCTGGTGGGTACAGACCCATGGGTCTGTGTGTCTGTGTTTCTGCCTGTGCGTGTTAGCGCTGCACCGTGCTACACCCTACCGTGTGCTTTACAGAGTGTGTTTCGTGATTGGAAGCGTATGTACATATGTACATTGTATGTATGTATGTATGTAGGTATGTATGTATTCCTCTCGTGATTCCAATCCCTTTCTCCCTGTCCCCGTTGTTGCCGCGGATGCTGCCGCAATCACGACCGACTGACTGACCGACGAACCCCCACCGACCGACTTGCCCCATGGTTCATTCAACGGCGTCGCCGCCGCCGCCGCCGCCGCCAACAGGTTCGCGCCATGCGCGCCCTGTCAGGTCGCCCCGAAACCGCCACCACCACCCTGCGATACAAGAAAAAGATGATCATGTGGACCTTTCCTCCCGACGACGGCGACGGCGACGGCGACGCCGCCGCAGCCAACGGCGGCGTTGTGGGCTACAGCCTCATGACATTTGTGATTCGCAACGGCTTGCCGGCTCTCCGACAGGGCGCCTCCAACTACGCAGCCTACGTAGACAACTTGGTTCGGCGCAGCTGGGGGCTGCCGGCGTCGCAGGTGGCGCAGGTAACGGAGCGCGGAGGTGTGTGTAGAAGGGAGTAGAAGGGTGGTGTGACTGCCGACTTCGTGTTGTTCATCGAGCCGGGGCAGCTGACGTCCCCGTGCTTGTGTGTGTGTGTGTGTGTGTGTGTGTATGTGTTCTGCTACACATCGATCCTGGCCTGACGCTGGCCAGGGGCACCTAACCGTATACCCCAACGGGAACGACCGCCGAAGCACTCTCCTCCTTGTGGGGGGAGAGGGGCGTGAGGGGTCCCCACAGTCCCCTCCTGCTCGACCGAGGGCGCACACACACACACACACACGCGTTTCCCCCTTTTGTTAACAAAGAGAGCACGGTAGCTACCAAGGCCCCAAAACATGTATGTATGTCCGTCCTGCAATCCCGGTACTGACCCGCAACCCTGTGTGGATGCAGGTGCAGCACTTTGCCCGCTGCTGGGCGGCCTGGGTGGCGGCGCGGGGGGGTGCCGCGGCGGTGGAGGAGTATCGGTACCTGGACGTGGCGGAGCCGTTCGTACAGGAGTTCCTGAAGCGGCGAGGGGCCATGGCGCTGAGTGGGCGCCCCGAAACCGCCTTCCAGGTCGGTCATTCTCACGGGGGGCAGTGCTTTTTGGGGGAAGCGGGGGATGAATGGGCGTGGAGGGGAGGGAGGGGGGACAGCAGGCGCGTGGAGGCCAGGTGGGGCCGGATGCACAGGCCCCGTGTGTGTATGTGTGTGTGTGTTTAGGGATGTGGTTTGATAACTAAGCCGCTGATTTTAACATCAATGTGCCTTCTTATAAATCCGTATTATTTAAATTGTCGAGAGCCACGATGTAGGATGGTCCAGTGCTGGTGTGACCCATGGGTCAGTGGTGGTGATGGGTTTCTTGGATCCCCCTATGTTACCGTACTGCTTCACGTCACTTCCTGCACCCAGTTTGCATCCGTGCCATGACGTTCACATTCTCCCTCTGCACCCGCACCCCCACCCGCACCCGCACCCGCACCCGCACCTCTGCCCCCGCCCCCACCCCCACCCGCATCTGCACCCTCAGGGAGTCCTCATCTGCGTGGACACGTCAGAAGCTTTCACGACAGCGTTACGTCGCGCAGTGGCGCCCTCCCTGGAGATCAAGCCGGCCAAGCTGGGAGACACGGGGTTTAGCAAGGGGATGGTGCCAGGGGGTGTCATGATCTGGCTGCAGGTAGGCGGGAGCGCGTGTGCGTGTGCGTGTGTTTGTGGGGTGGGTGGGGACTATGGTATGTAAATGTGAGGGGGGATTCTGGCGGGTGCAGGGGGTTGGATACGGAAGGGAGTGAGCAGGAGGGATAGGTGAGGGGGAATATTACCATCATCATCATCATCATCATCATCATCATCATCATCACCACAACAATCATCACTACAATCACCATCATCATCATCCTCACGCGCACTTGCATTTCTCCTCGCGGGCTATTCGCCATGTGGCTGTTCGACCCGGGATAGCTGAGTGCACATATGCACACATACACACATGCATACATGCATACATATACACATATACACATACATACATGCTGACGCACACATGCATGCATGTCTGCATCCCTCCCTCCCTCCCGCCTCCCTCGCCAGCCCGGTAGCGAACTGCCCAAGAAGCTGCGGGACTTCCTGGCGGCGGGGGCGGCGCCCTTCACCTGGCTGGTGACGGCGGCTCCACCGAGAGAAACAACCGGACCAGACAACGAGCAGGCGGCCAAGCGGCAAAAGGGCCTGGCGCAAGCCAAGGTACGGCGATATGTCATTGATTAAATGCACGACGCAGTTTCCGCCGCGTGGCAGCGTGAGTCGTACATATTTTAATTGGTTGTTGGTTATCGGTTGTTATTATTATTGTATCATTCACCAATGGCCACACCCAAATAAATAAACAAAACAGATTGGGGCCATTACGGCGGCGCTTGGCGCTGACGGCGGAGCGAGACGTGTACGGCAAGTCACGCTGCCGGCGCCTGAGGATGACATCGACGGCGCCGTCAGCGCCCAGCTAGCGGCGGAGGTGACGGGATGGCTGGGTGTTGGCTCTCCACTTCCGCCAGCGGATCCCGCCGTCGCAGCGTACTTTGTGACTATCCCTGGAGCTGGCAAGAGCGTGCTGACAAAGGGGGTGATGACGTTGCCGGTTGCGGCGGCGGCGGATGGGTCGCAGCAGCAGCAGCAGGTGACAGTCAAGGTGCGTCAGGTGGCTAGGTGGCTGCGGTGTCATTACGATGGGGGGAGGGGATCGCTGCCGGGGTGAGAGTGTGTGTGTGTCTGTTATATAATGATCTGCGCCGTGTGTGTATGCGGCCGACGCGTTGTTGACACACGGACCCACCGATGATCATCGAGCCTGCAGGGCCCCTGGCCCCGTAACCCATGACCCATGGGTCGCTTTGTCACTGGCATCTCCATCGCTCTTACCCCACCCCATCCCAACCCTCGTACCAATCCATAAATCTCTCTAATGGGCCAGGTCCTAAACAGCGACACGCTGAAGAAGACGGTCAAAAACTTCAACCCCAATCGGTGAGTACGGGCGACCATGTGCGTTGCGTACGGCGTACGACATCTCTACTCTGTCCAGCAAATGCACGCCAAGCTTACGTGTGGCGCAAAAGCCCAAACAAGCCACCGCCGTAGGGAGTCCGGGGGGGAGGAATACTTCAACCTGGCTAATGAGGACTCGGCCTAGCCATGCAAAACCCCCTCTTCTCCCCGCTTCTCCTACGCCCCAGCCACCTACCCACCCCGACCCACCTACAGCCCCAACAGAATCCGCTGCCCATCCGCACACAAACACACAAACCCGGCAGTTCCTCCGCATGGCTCTCAGCTCCTGAGGACACACGCGTAACCCATACCGACCCGGCTCCCCTTTGCCGTACATTCCGCGTGTTGTACAGGTACTGGTTTGAGGTGGCTGCAGCAGCTGACAGCTGTGTGGGCGGAGGCCATGTGACGGTGTCCGTGGCGGATAAGAACCTTGTGCCCTCCCCCCCGGGAAACATCAACCGGGCCCTGGAGCCGCTCAAGGGCACGGGTGAGGGGTTGGGGGAGCGCATGTAGAGAGAGTGTGTGTGTATAGCAATGTTCGGAGCAACGTCCGGAGCGAAAATGGATTATTGCTCGGTACACGTGCGGCTGGTGGGCGGGTGGGTGGCGACGGGGCGATGACATGTGGAAAAACAAACTTGAGCGACCTTTATTTTTATTATTATCATTTTCTTTGGATTACAAACCCCCTGTTCGATCCCTATCCCAAACCAACTCCGGTCACAATCCCCCTGATCCTGATCCCCGGGGGCTTACGTCAATACACACACGCGCGCACGTGTGCACACAGGTGTGGCCAGTCTGGCGATAGTGCCCGTCGTGGCCGGTCCGTCAACTCTCTCCGCGCCCGCGCCCGGGTACGGCGATCTGTACGGCGGTCTGCCCGACCTGCCCTTCCCCTTGGAGCTCGTGGCGCTGTGTATGCTGCGCACGCTCAAACGGCGGGTGCGTGTTTGTGTTTGCGTGTGAGGGCGTGTTTTGGGGGACTTGTGTGGACTGTGTAGATGTAGGGGCATGTGTAACGGTTTCAGGTTTGTTGTACAACAAGCATCCAACTAACCAACGACCTCACTAATCATCCAATCAAGCAGCCAGCGAACTGGCGAACTCTCTTTTGCTCGTCCTCCTTTCATGCATGTGTTTGCCTGTATGTATATATGTATGCACTTGTACCCCCCATGTAACGGAATCAGCACTGAACAGGAGCGGACGTCTGTCGGCGCCCCACCCGCGTTTCGCACACATTCATACATACACTCATACAGGGCTGGGCTACTACTACCTGGGAAGAGGTGGTCCTCATGTCTCATCACTTCCTCAGCACTTCCTTTCTCGCGACTCATGAGAGATGGACACATACCATACACTCCTCTTGTTCACACACCCCACACCACGCCCACCCCAACACCCGCGCAGAACCACGAGGGAGGCCTGGACGGCGAGAAGGCCCCCTCCGCCGCCACCGTCGTCGCGATGTTCGCAGGTTTCTACCGCCATAAGAGACTGCCTGAGCTGCTGGAGGCGCTCCGGAACCTATTCACACGGGTCGTAGAGCTACCCATCATGCGTGGCGACGGCATCGCCGCCGGCGCTGCCGTTGCGGGTGGTGGCGCCGCCGCCACCGGTGAAGTCGGCGGCGGCGGTAGCGTGCCCGTGGAGGTTTTGCGTCACGTGGCGACGGGTGTACGAAATGTTTCGGAGCGAGAGAAACCACAGCTGCCGGCCGAGTGGGAGGCGCGGGCTCGGGAGCTGCTGTTGCGGCCGGATGTGGAGGCGGCGCTGGAGGTGCGTGCGTGCGTGTGTGTGTGTTACATAATGATCCGGGCCTGATGCTGGCCGGGGGCACCTAACCGTATACCCCAACGGGCATGACCGCCGAAGCGCTCTCCCCCTGGGGGAAGGAGGGGTTCGTGAGGGGCCACTATCCCCTCCTCCTCGGCCTTTGTCTCTAACTAACTCTTACCTGAGCTCTGCATGTGTGTATGTGTCTGTTGATCTCTGTACTGTGAAATAGGAAACTTGGAGCGGGAGTGTTGGTGTGTGGAAACGGGGGGGATGCATTGCTCAGGCATCTCCCGCGTGTTTGTTTGTTTATAAGTCTTTTAGACCTCCTCGTACCATATTACATATATTTCCTAAACAGGCTCTCCAGCTGCCCATGGAAGATGTACGGCGACATCTCGAGGCGGAGATCTCGGCCACCCTGGAGCAGGTCAGGGCCACCGCCAGTGCCGACGAGGGAGCCCTCACCTCGTCGCTGACGTTGCCAGTGGGGGGCTTGGACATCGGCGACGGGAGCGCCGCCAACGCTGCGGCGGCGGCCGCCGCGGAGGAGCGTGTGTCGTACTTTGCGGTTTCAGGGCTGGATGACGAGACCGTACGGGCGGCTGCTGGGCAAGTGCTGGCTCCAGAGCTTCACGCCAAGCTGCGTCGCGGTGCACTACACGTCACCTTGTGGCACCGGTACGCAGTACGTATTGTACGACATATGCATCCCGTTCGCATGTCGGCAAGGCCATTACGATGTTCTCTGTGTGTATTTTATCCTCATCGAATCCCCCTTTTCTTTATTACTCACACCCGTAACGGGTATCCTGTTCCTTCGCATTCTCCGGGCTCGGACCTCGCCACACGAACCTTGCGCTCAGCAACATCATTCTACAATACCTTGCGCCGTGGTTTCCGTACATTTATCGTATTGCCGTACAGGGCCGATTCTGAGCAAGGCTTTCGTACAGATGTACGGCAATCGCTAATGGGTTTGGTGGGCAGCCCTGTGCAGCTGGAGGTGACGGATGTTGACATCAGTCCGCAGGTGTGTATGTATGTATATATGTATGTGTGTGTGTCGTCCTGGTGCTTCGGACCCTCGTAGCCAGTCCTGGTCCCCTGATGCCCCATTGAAACCAGGCCCCTTCTGCTTTCCCTTTGGTGATGCATTGTGTTGTGCTGTGTTGTCGCGATGGTCCTTTACTCCTCCTCCTCTTCACCCTCCTAGTAATTTTCCTCCTTCCCTCCATATGATTATATCAGCATTCCCACCCCCCTAAATCATACCAGCACGTCACACCCATTGTCCACATACGTACATACACACACACTCCATGTCGTCCCGATGTCCCGGATGTTGGCGGTGTGCAGGTGGTGGCGGCGCATGTCAGGCTGGTGGATGCGGATGAAGCCATTCCCCCCAAGGCCTACCACCACATCACCCTCTTGGTGGGCACCGGGCTGGGGACATCCATTAGGGGTGTGGTGGGGGGTCTGTGGGGGGAATGTGTGGTGGGTAGGGAGTGACAGGGGGGCCCATCGCGTCACGGCACCAAAAGTAGGTAGACGCGGCTAGTTGCGCTGAGCCCCCACCCCCCAGTAGGTTCAGTCGGTCAACTCCCCAGGTGTTTCCTCCACCGGCGGAGCGTCTCTCGGAGGAGCGCATTCGAATCCTCTACCTTCCTCTTCCCCTTCGTCGCACCCCGTTCCCACCCAACCCCTCAGCCCCAGGTCCCGAGCTCTGTCCATCATGCTTTCCTGCCGCCCCTGCCCTCCCATCCTATCTCTAATTCTTGTTTTCAGGTGGAGAAGGGTCATACGGCGGTGGAGGCCAACAAGCTGCCCGCCAGACTGGCTGCGGGGGAGCCCGGAGTGGAGCGCAAACCCCTGCCCGGAGGCCCGCTGTTGCTGACCGGGGTGGTGACGGCGGTGGAGGTGGAGGCGTTGCCGCTGTAACCGGACGCGGCGAGGAAGTCGGGTGGGGTTAGCGAACGACCGCCCGTGATTTAGTCGTGGAAGTGGGGAATTAGTGTGTAGGGGTGGGGGGTTGTAAGTGCGTAGTGTACGGGGTACGCACCCCACGGCCATGTAACACACATTCTATGATACTTAGGAGACTTGTCTTTCGCCACAATTGTAACCACGACGTCTGCTTAAGTTTTTCTCAAAATAAATACCAACCTTTGGAGAAGCTGCTATGGCTGGGTGGGTGCTCCGTCCGTATCTGTCTTCGTAGCCGCTCTCTAGGCGATTCAAAATGTGACTCTTTGAACTCTTGGGCCCAGGTGCCGACGACGCCGTGAGAACACCTGCACCTTCTGATTTATCTGATCAGATAACATCCAATGCGCAGTGCGTCAATACAATCCGCCGCGGTGCTCCTGATGCTGTTGCTGCTGAACTGGGTCAGGGTTATAAGTGGAAGAGAGGCGCATGAGGTGGCGAACACAGACAGTCCGTGACGCATGTATCCTTACAGCCCATCCAGCACGATGTCGCAGCTGTCGCAGCGCAGCAAGGACGCACGGCTCAAACGCGCCGCGTTAGACAGTAAATAATGCTGTACGCCCATTTAAACGGGTAAACAGCATGTGAAGGTAGTGCTCTCGTACTGTGTCCCTTGGCTCTACTTTCTCCCGGGGAAGTGGGCTGAGGGTACGCCATCTCGTTATACCCGCCCAATATCCATCGAATTCCCAACCCGACAATGGGGCAAAAGCTGCAATGTCCCACATCCCACATCATCTAGAAACCATGTCAACCGTCTGTATCACCACATTCCACAAAGCAGGACCGGACCGGACCGGACCGCTTATCAATTCACAGCAGTTGGTCGGCCCCGCGCAGCGCTTCACACTCAGGCTACACCAATTCCATCGCTGGAAAAAAACTGGTACAAAATTGCGGGTGGAACTCGGAGCAGATGAGGGGGACTGCGGCTGAGACGCCGGCTCCAGCAGCTTACTGGCTCTCAGTGCTCTCCGAGCTGGCCGCTTCCGTTTGCCCGCTGACAACCATGTCCTTGTCTGATGAGTCGCGGCTACCCTCCTTCAACGCAAGCTTGGCCTGCACAGCGAACCAATGAGCCACGGTCCCCTAACCATTAATACGGACGCCCCTCTTCAATTGCTCGGCATTTGAACATAGAAAACTAACCTTGAACAAAGCCTGCTCAACGTAGGGCAGGACCTCCTTCTTCCAAGCAGCCTTGCGAATGGCCGTCTTGCTCTTGCTGGTCTTCTTCTTTGGCACGGCCGCCTCGACAACCAGAGCAGTTCGGCTGGGCGCCGGGAAAACCATCTGGCGAGCTGGCTGCACCCGAGATGTGGCGCTGAAGGCAGCGCTGCGCGACGAGGAAAGGGCCAGCATTCTTAAGGTGTGATAAAAACTAAATTCCTAAAATATCTAAGTGGCCCTGTAAGAAAGAAGATGTCAAAAGGAACAACCTATATCGGTGTAGTCTCGTCCTTCTTCGGCCGCCGAATGATTTTGTGGCTCGTACAAGACAGCGATGGGACAATAGACGACATCGCGGCCCCACACCAATCGCCTATTATTGGAGCCTACATCACATCACCAGCATTTCTTGATAAAGACTTGCTGTGGCAGTTGAGGTATGCACAGAGCCTTTGGACAGACTGCAGTCAGTCGCAGTCTCCATCTAACAATCCATAACAACTTATCATAATCAAAGGTTGCTTCCTCTTTGCATATTCCTGTCTACAATAGTTACACATGCAAATTGTTCTTGTGCTCGGGAACCACAGGGTTGAAGCTCCGGCAATTCGAAAGTGCAGCGTGGAAGCTTGGATTGTTAAACATGGTAACAGTGGGTCAGAAGATGTACGTGCTATAGGTACTCATACGGTTGCAAGGGAGATGAGGCTGCAAGCGTGGTTGCGGAAAGACATAACAGGGTGGCGCAAATCATCGACAGCCACCTAAGCTAAATCCTTGGCAGGATGCAAGGATAGAAATGCTCCTGGGTGGAGCCGGTGTGCCGTGTACGCAAGGGGTCCTCAGACAATAGCGCTGTCGTCCATTCCTTCTGGCATGTCACCGGACTCATTTAAACTTGTATTCCGGACTCCGCTAGACTCAGATGCAGGGAATGATTGAAAGCTCTTGTTGGTTGAAAAACACAAGCACGCCGCCAACAGCAGCCGCGGTGGAAACGCCATATACGGAAAAGACAGGCAGTCGACATGACTGGCTCCAAAACAGTCCCGTCATATTGACTCAAATCGGGATTTCTGCATTCCAGGCTCGGCTCATGTCCAAACGTGTACGGCATGTCACGCTGCCGGCGCCTGAGGATGACATCGATGGCGCCGTCAGCGCCCGGCTGGCGGCGGAGGTGACGGGATGGCTGGGTGTTGGCTCTCCGCTTCCGCCAGCGGATCCCGCCGTCGCAGCGTACTTTGTGACTATTCCTGGAGCTGGCAAGAGCGTGCTGACAAAGGGGATGATGACGTTGCCGGTTGCGGCGACGGCGGATGGGTCGCAGAAGCAGCAGCAGGTGACAGTCAAGGTGCGTTTGGGCTAGGTGGCTGCGGTGTCATTACGATGGGGGGGAGGGGATCGCTGCCGGGGTGAGAGTGTGTGTGTGTGTGTTATATAATGATCTGCGCCGTGTCTGTATGCGGCCGACGTGTTGTTGACACACGGACCCACCGATGATCATCGAGCCTGCAGGGCCCCTGGCCCCGTAACCCATGACCCATGGGTCGCTTTGTCACTGGCATCTCCATCGCTCTTACCCCACCCCATCCCAACCCTCGTACAAATCCATAAATCTCTCTAATGGGCCAGGTCCTAAACAGCGACACGCTGAAGAAGACGGTCATAAACTTATCCCCCGATCGGTGAGTACGGGCGACCATGTGCGTTGCGTACGGCGTACGACATCTCTACTCTGTCCATCAAATGCACGCCAAGCTTACGTGTGGCGCCAAAGCCCAAACAAGCCACCGCCGTAGGGAGTCCGAGCTGCAAAAAGTTTACCAAATTTCAATTGATAACTAAGCAGAACAATGAAAGATAAATTAATAGTTTAAAACATTTCGAAATCATATAATAAACGACCGGTTTTACGTGATGTATCTATTGATTTAGAACAGGGAATTTGTTTTATTGTTCCATAAACTCATGTTTGCAGCAATAGCTGCAACTTTATTGCTGCCTATATCAAAAACAACATAATTTGCTGATTTATGTTTTATGATTATTGTTAACCAGTTTAGCTATATCGGAAGTTCTATGATGACTACCATTTGATACACCACCTACATATAATATTTTTCCTTCAAAAAAAATCAAAAAATATCGAAAGACCTAACCAGAAAATCCCTTTGATTGACGGGGGAAAATGCTTCAACCTGGCTAATGAGGACTCGGGCTAGGCATGCAAGTCAAAACCCACTTCCCGCCTCTTCTCCCCGCTTCTCCTACGCCCCAGCCACCGACCCACCCCGACCCACCTACAGCCCCAACAGAATCCGCTGCCCATCCGCACGCAAACAAACAAACCCGGCAGTTCCTGAGGACACACGCGTAACCCAAACCAACCCGGCTCCCCTTTGCCGTACATTCCGTACTTCTGCCATCCCGGAGGCGTGTTGTACAGGTACTGGTTTGAGGTGGCTGCAGCAGCTAACAGCTGTGTGGGCGGAGGCCATGTGACGGTGTCCGTGGCGGATAAGAACCTTGTGCCCTCCCCCCCTGGAAACATCAACCGGGCCCTGGAGCCGCTCAAGGGCACGGGTGAGGGGGTGGGGGGAGCGCGTGTAGAGAGAGAGTGTGTGTGTAGCAATGTTCGGAGCAACGTCCGGAGCGAAAATGGATTATTGCTCGGTACACGTGCGGCTGGTGGGCGGGTGGGTGGCGACGGGGCGATGACACGTGTAAAAACAAACTTGAGCGACCTTTATTTTTATTATTATCATTTTCTTTGGATTACAAACCCCCTGTTCAATCCCTATCCCAAACCAACTCCGGTCGCAATCCCCCTGACCCTGATCCCCGGGGGCTTACGTCAATACACACACACACGCGCACGCGTGCACACAGGTGTGGCCAGTCTGGCGATAGTGCCCGTCGTGGCCGGCCCGTCAACTCTCTCCATGCCCGAGTACGGCGATCTGTACGGCGGTCTGCCCGACCTGCCCTTCCCCTTGGAGCTCGTGGCGCTGTGTATGCTGCGCACGCTCAAACGGCGGGTGCGTGTTTGTTTGCGTGTGCGGGCGTGTTTTTGGGGCTTGTGTGGGCTGTGTAGATGTAGGGGCATGTGTAACGGTTTCAGGTTTGTTGTACAACAAGCATCCAACTAACCAACGACCTCACTAATCATCCAATCAACCAGCCAGCGAACTGGCGAACTCTCTTTTGCTCGTCCTCCTTTCATGCATGTGTTTGCCTGTATGTATATATGTATGCACGTGTACCCCCCATGTAACGGAAACAGCACAGAACAGGAGCGGACGTCTGTCGGCGCCCCACCCGCGTTTCCCACACATACATACATACACTCATACATACATGTTCAGGCACTACTGGTGACGCACACACCGATGCCCCCGGAGGTTCCGGGATCGAGACCTGCCAGGGTCGAAAGTCCTTCCGATGGTGGAAGGTAAGAGTGCCCCTAGTCGATGGACGGTGGTGACCTGGGATAAAGTTGACTCGCGAGCCGACCAGGAATGGAGTTGGGCCGCCGTCGATCCGGCAGATTCCGTTGGATGCTGGTGGTGGGTGCGGAACCTGAGCGATCCACTGAGAAGTTGACTAGGGTGACTGGATGAGGGTGCCCCGAAGTACCGGGGAAGGCAGGGTTTCGCATGGGTAGCTGCCACGGGCGAAGATACACCCCCCTGTTTCACACATACATACATACATACATACATACATACATACATACACTTATACAGGGCTGGGCTAGTACTACCTGGGAAGAGGTGGTCCTCATGTGTCATCACTTCCTCATCACTTCCTTCTCGCAACTCATCAGATTTGAACACATACACGCTCCTCTTGTCCACACACACCACACCACGCCCACCCCAACACCCGCGCAGAACCACGAGGGAGGCCTGGACGGCGAAAAGGCCCCCTCCGCCGCCACCGTCGTCGCGATGTTCGCGGGTTTCTACCGCCATAAGACACTGCCTGGGCTGCTGGAGGCGCTCCGGAACCTATTCACACGGGTCGTAGAGCTACCCATCATGCGCGGCGACAGCATCGCCGCCGCCGCTGCCGTTGCGGGTGGTGGCGCCGCCGCCACCGGTGAAGTCGGCGGCGGCGGTAGCGTGCCCGTGGAGGTTTTGCGTCACGTGGCGACGGGTGTACGAAATGTTTTGGAGCGAGCGAAACCACAGCTGCCGCCCGAGTGGGAGGCGCGGGCTCGGGAGCTTCTGTTGCGGCCGGATGTGGAGGCGGCGCTGGAGGTGCGTTTGTGTGTGTGTGTGTGCATGTGTCTGTTGATCTCTGTAATGCGAAACGGGAAACTTGGAGCCGGGGGTTTGGTGTGTGGAAATGGACGGGATTCATTGCTCAGGCATCTCCCGCGTGTTTGTTTGTAAATCTGTTAGACCTCCTCGACCATATTACATATATTTCCTAAACAGGCTCTCCAGCTGCCCATGGAAGATGTACGGCGACATCTCGAGGCGGAGATCTCGGCCACCCTGGAGCAGGTCAAGGCCGCCGCCAGTGCCGACAAGGAAGCCCTCACCTCGTCGCTGACGTTGCCAGTGGGGGCCTTGGACATCGGCGACGGGAGCGCCGCCAACGCTGCGGCGGCGGCCGCGGAGGAGCGTGTGTCGTACTTTGCGGTTTCAGGGCTAGATGACGAGACCGTACGGGCGGCTGCTGGGCAAGTGCTGGCTCCGGAGCTTGTTCGCATGTCGGCAAGGCCATAACGACGTTCGTGTCTGTGTGTATTTTATCCTCATTGAATCCCCCTTTCCGTTATTACTCACACCCGTAACGGGTATCCTGTTCCTTCGCATTCTCCGGGCTCGGACCTCGCCACACGACCCTTGCGCTCAGCAACATCATTCCACCATACCTTGCGCCGTGGTTTTCGTGCATTCGTCGTATTGCCGTACAGGGCCGATCCTGAGCAAGGCTTCCGTACAGATGTACGGCATTCGCTAATGGGTTTGGTGGGCAGCCCTGTGCAGCTGGAGGTGACGGATGTTGACATCAGTCCGCAGGTGTGTATGTATGTATATATGTATGTGTGTATGTCGTCCTGGTGCTGGCTTCGGACCCTCGTAGCCAGTTCTGGTCCCCTGATGCCCCATTGAAACCAGGCCCCTTCTGCTTTCTCTTTAGTGATGCATTGTGTTGTGCTGTGTTGTCGCCATGGTCCTTTACTCCTCCACCTCCTCTTCACCCTCCTCACCCCCTGACCTCCTCACCCCCTCTACCTTCCTGATCCCCTCCGTCGCACCCCGTTCCCACCCAACCCCTCAGCCCCAGGTTTGATCAACCTGTCCCGAGCTCCGCCCGCCCAAGCTCTGCCCATCATGCTTTCCTGCCGCCCCTGCCCTCCCGTCCTACGTCTCTAATTCTTGTTTTCAGGTGGAGAAGGGTCATACGGCGGTGGAGGCCAACAAGCTGCCCGCCAGACTGGCTGCGGGGGAGCCCGGAGTGGAGCGCAAACCCCTGCCCGGAGGCCCGCTGTTGCTGACCGGGGTGGTGACGGCGGTGGAGGTGGAGGCGCTGCCGCTGTAACCGACGCGGCGAGGAAGTCGGGTGCGGCTCACAAGCGACCGCCCGTGATTTAGTCGTGGAAGTGGGGAATTAGTGTGTTGGGGGGGGGGGTTTGGAAGTGCGTAGTGTATACGTCTATGCGTGTATGTGTGCAGGCACGAGGCCTAGCTGCAGTGGGGTGGCAATGCTGCGTGCATGCCGCAGTGGACTGGGAGAACCCAAGGGCCCTATTTATCGCCAACGACGACGGCGGAAGTGTCCTTGCGATGGACGCATGTCGGGAGAATGGGCGCATGGTAAGGGGGAAAGGAGGACCGGCAGCAGCAGCAGCGAGAGGTGGTGGTCGTTGAGGGTGTGGAGGCCCTCGGGGTGTCGTGGCGAGTCGTGCAGGTGTCTTCTGGCGACTTCCTGGCTGATCTTCGACCTCCGCAACCTCCTCTGTAAATCGCCAAAGCAACTTCCTCCTTCCAAGTGATGCTGCGCTACGGCTTCCAGACGCACACGGTCCCACCGCGGATGCATATCAGTGGCACCTTCTCCCCCTCCTCTTGTCCGTGAAGCGGTCCCGTTTTGTAGTCCAGCGTTGGCCGGCCCCTACCCGAATTACCAGGGATACGCGACTAGATAGGGTGGGTAGGGATGTGTGTGTTTTACATGGCCATGGGATGCGTACCCCGTACCTGCAAACCGTCCAGTACGAGCCGAGGGCTCAATTCATTTAACCAAACCAAACCAACCAAACTCTTGGTGGCTGAAATCCACACAAGCACGCCGCCAACAGCAGCCGCGGTGGAAGCGCCATACACGGAAAAGACATGCAGTCGACATGACTGGCTCCAAAACAGTCCCGTCATATTGAATCAAATCGGGATTTCTGCATTCCAGGCTGCTGCTCTTCACTCGATTCTTCTCTCCGCAACTGGCGACGACCCAGGCTAAGAACTTACGGTGTAGTGCTACCGTTTATCCTTAAGGAACACAGCAACCCGAATACCTGGGTTGGGCACCGTTTTGCGCCCAACCCATGAATCCTATATAATAACAACGGACGCAGGAGGAGGGTAGCTGTAATGGGGGCATGACATCTGGGCCGCGCGTGAGCTAAAGGGCGCCATCAAGACGGGTTTCAACACCCGCATGCGGGGACATGACAGCATTCTCCTGAGAAGCCCAAGCCCTGCGCCACCACATCACTGCGGGCCATGTCACCGCGCATTGTCGTCCAACTGTACGGGTGTGTGTCAGGAGCCTTCATCGGCCCTTCTGGCGGGACTGGATGCCGGCGGGCTACAGGGGCGGCTACCAGGGCAGGGCCTGGGCGCCCTTAAGGCTGCACCACATACTCGTAACTTAGATGTTTGCTAGGCTGGGTACAAAAAGGCATGCTAGACATGTATCAGTTCCTCTAGATGCTCAGGTCGGTGTTCTGTCGCGGTCGCTGGCACTGCGGAGTCCTTGCAGTTATAGGAGTTCGCTGTTCCTGCAAGTGCCATAGAGCAGCAAGAAGTTTTCTGCGTTGAGAGCAATAATTCATGGCGTTCATGTATCGTTTTCAAGGTAAGTTGGTAAGTAGATCGTGGACGGTCAGAGCCAGGGCGGTGAGCCCTGGTCAGAGCTCGCAGGTGGCAACGGTGCAACGACCACGAATTCGTACCACATGTATCGTTAATGCGGTCGGAGTTCCCTGTTGCGCTTTGCGTGGCTTCGTAACAGAAAGTGCATATAGCCAAAAAATTAGTTGAAGATGTGGAGGCAGCTTCGTTTTCGTGAGGACAGGTTTGGCTGCCACCGATTCCCTTGTAACCCATGCGAGCTCGCCTAGTTGCTCGTCCTTCCTCCTCCTATTTCGAAAATGTAGCTGCTATTAAACAACACAATATCACCATGTCTTCGACTGAGCTGAGTGCTATGAAGCAAATTGGCGCGAACGTTGGAGATGCGACGCTTTTCGATGGCTTTGCTGTCTGTGGATTGACTTTACCATTAACCAGCATTCATGGGGACGATGTGGGGCCTAAATTGAATGAATGTCAGCGTTTTGCGCCCAGCCTTGTGGACCAGCTGTTCGTCCATGGACGTAAGCCACCTCTACAGCTTCCAACTGTAAGCAGGACTCAGTTCAATGAAATCTCATTTATTCGTATCAAAAATGCTGAGCTAGAAAGGCGACGCTAGGTTAGATGACAAAACCGCAAGCAGTAGCACAATCGTTTTGTCATCTGCCGACCTCCCCAGTGCTGCATGCCAGATGGAGTGGAAATCGTATCAGCGGAAAGGGCTGAATTTCGGCTCAGGTCCTCGGATTACTCGCCTGTGGTGTACTCGCTTGTCCTTACAGGTAAGAACGGTGTACGTTAATCGGCTCCGTGTCCATGTCCTAACGGACTCCATCGGACAGACACCTATGCCTCAACTTGCCTTAGCGCGCCTGCATCTATCGGGCCGCCCCTCCTCCTCCTCCTCCTCATGATCATCATCTTCGACCCCCCACCCAGTTACACCCGCTCCCTTAATCCACCTCAACCACCTGGCTGTTTTGGCCACATGAACCCTTGTTGGACGCGGTACTCGTCTCTTGTCAACGACCGTGTTAAATACACGCTCTCCCCGGGGTTTACTCCGCGTGAGGTCAAACCGGGCCCGCGGACTTCCCCTCCCAAACACATTAAGCCCCAAACCCCTCTCCCTCCTCGCCACCTAAGGCTGTCATAAGCACATAGCAAAGATGCACTAGCCAAATCCCCCCCAGAAAGGGGGGGAAGCGGGGGGAAGGGGGGAATTACCTTTTAGTCGGGTACACTTTGCTTGCGCTTGCTTGCACTGGTGCGTGAACGATACATAGTGCTTTGGGGGGCATTTCTTGCCCTTTAAATCAATGGTACTACCGTGCTTAATTTCGGGTGTGTTTATGTGGCTGGCTGAGGTACCGTACGGCCGTGGTGGTCTGTTCAGATCCACCTTGGCAACGTCGTGCATTTGTGCTTTCGTGCATTTCATGCTACGAGAACAAGATCGCATCCGCACCACCGCCCCTTACGCACTCATATGCCGTGCTATGCTGCTGGGGGCCCAGCGACTACAATATGCTTCATGAGCGAAATGGTACGAGTGTGCCTTGCCGTACTTTGCCGCTGCATTGTACCCAGATGAAGGTGGTCGACGTCTGTACGGCACCTGCCTCACCTACCTGGAGCCGCTGCCGCCCATCATCACATGCCGTCACGAACACCTCATCGGGGCGTATGGCACACGGGCCCTGTGCCTCGTCAGCAAGCTGCCGTACCTCACCACGGCGGAACAGGTGTGATGATGGCGAGGATTTGTGGTTTGTACGGCACACCCCACAGGCCCCCCCCCCGGTACATGCCGGGGCGATGGGGGGAACAAGAGATTTATCCGTTATGGCGGAGGCGGATGAACGGATGGGAGGCCAGTAGGGGTTGTTGGAGGGCAGTTGGAAGTTTAGGTGGTTAGGGTGGGTTAGTTAACAGTTGGTGGTGGAGAGGGCGTGATGAGGTGGTGGTGGAGATTAGTTTGCTGTGTGGGGCCGCTGGGAGCTCCCAACCCCTCCCTGGATAGGGGGTATGGGTGGTTGCGTGGTTGCGGTA